ATATTTTGGGGTATCTTAGTCATAGGATTTATTTTCTTTTATTTATATATTATATATTATTAGTTTTTGGATATTTTTATATGACATTATTTACTTAACTATTTTTCTATTTTTTTATCTATTGAAATCGACTTCGGTACAAAACAATTTATAATAACTCACACATATGCTTAGCCAACTTAATTACCTTTTTAGTTTTCTCTATTTATATATTTATTTTATTATTTTAACATTATACATGAAAATCATGACATCTAATTAAGTTTTTGTTCTACTTATTTTATTTTAAATATTGGGGACATTTTAACCTATATTGTATAATTAATAATGTAATGCACTGTATAAAAATGTAATTAAAATAATTAACTTTTAAATAAAAATAAAATTAGAAATATATCAAAAAAAAATTGTCAATAAAATAAAATTAAAATTTATATAAAACATTATATGAACTTATCCATTATTATGTTATTTTACATTTAACATTCACTTCAAGAGATAATGTTATCAAGAAAAATACTAGTGACGCTTCTTATTATTGGTTAATTTTTTTTAAAGCACTATAAATTTTGATGGATTTTATATTTTATTTAATAACTTTTTTTTGTTTACCTTAATTTAGTGATACTATATTTATTAAAATTTGTAAGTTTTAACTAATCACTTAAAATGTTAGAAAGAGATCGTAAGAGAAGTTAAAAAGAGTATCGTTTCTCATGTTACCAACCAACTAGCCTTTCTGTTCACTGTTCAGGTTAATTTAACCTATCCAGCTTTAAGTTAGTAAGCTTCAACCTACCATCTAGCTTTTCTATTTCTGGTTAACTTTTCTGCTTTTAATGAACTTTATGATTGCCTTTGCTAACATGGCCCATATATAGTTCAAAGGCCACGAAGGTGAAAACATAAAATTAAAAAAATAGAACTAAATAGTAAATACAGCTTAAACAAAATATAGGAAATTTTTGAATCGGAAAAAAGAATAGTACATATCTAATTTATCAAATATTTAACTAAATATATGGTTCTTACGTGTCGCAATTCCCATAATTTTCTCAAATATTCTTCTATTTTAAATTCCTTTTCTTTTTGGACAAGTTATTCATGAAAGTATCTATTCCTGAGAGTTTATTAACCTTACCAATTGTTTGGAAATGATTTTAGAGCGCAAATCAGAGACAATAGAAGTTATTTTTTTAATTTAATGATTTGGACTAATATTTCTAACATATTTGTACCCCTGAAATATACATACAATTAACATGAATCTATTGGTAAAGAATGTTTAAACTTAATCCGCAATTTTGAGTTCAAATTCTCAGTAAGACACCATGTTAATGGTTTGATAGTTTTATTTGACTGAAATAAAATTATTTCTAATAAAAAATAGTTATTGTTTTTAGTAAAAAATATATGAAATAAAAGAAAAAGAATATAGATAACGTAGCATTAATTAGATTCACTGGACCGAGTAAAAATACACGTATAGTTAGAAGTGAGAGTGAAGGATCGTTCCAAGAACGTAGGAATAATGACATAGTATAGTATACGGTGAGAAGAAAATTTCCAAGTTGGGTCTGAAAGCTTGAAAATTCATCTAAGGGGTCCAAGAAGCAATCGTTTCAATGGGGCAAGGCAATGCAACGGGGTCTTCGTCTAGACCCAAAGAAAAGATCAAGTTTGAAATTCCAAGTAGCTACAATTCTTAACGACCAACGACCAAGTCTTCTTTTCCTCGTTCCTTTTTTCAGCGCCGTGTAAATGGAAACATAAATTAATGTATATGCATGTTCTCTGTTTATATTATTGCGTCGTTTTTTCCTTACAAGAGACATCACAGCACCAACGTAGAAACATAGTACGAAACTTGCACTTTGACAAACATATAAATATAATTATAACTCACAACCCTTTCCATATTTTCACCCTTATACATGTCAAAGCCAAAACACCTAGAAACAATGGAAGAGGTAATTAATTCGATTCGACGCGCTTCTATGTTGGCTCAAAACCTTGAACAAAACCTACCCAACTTGGCGAACCAGCCAACTATGATGTCCTTGTCCATTGATGAGATAACTGAGGCTTTCACTGCTGCAAAACAAAAGCTGTTACTAATCTCCCGACAGAACCAAACTTCTGAATATGAAACACAACGGCCTCAGGAGATGGATGCCACTCTCATGCATGAATGGCTAAGGTCTAGTCATGCACTAACAATGGATCAGTTGTTTCAAGTGCATGCTGCTAGGAGCACTTTGCAGATTGGTGAAATGGGTGGAAGAGATGGTGAAGATTCTGAGAAAACCATGGTATCTGAAGGAGAGGTACAAGGAATCGTCGCATCATCCTCACGATCACGAAAAAGGTATACATATCTCATCTTTTTCATGCCAACAACAACACTTTTTCAAACTAATTATTTATAGGTAAAAACAGTTTTGCAATTTTATCTAATTAAATTAATTAGCTAAGTATAGTAACTAGTTTCAATCACCCGTGTTCATAATTCATCAATCAAACAATCAAACCCACATATAAGTTAAATTATAAAATAATAGAAATGTAACAACAAAACATGTGTGTGTGAACTAAAATTAAATTGTGGTATATCAGACTTGAAGGAGATGAATTAGTGATATATAGTAGAAGGGTTCTTGTCTGAAACGAAAGCCTAGAGAGAATGCAAAATAAAATGACATTGAACACATTATAATAATTTTCTAACGCCTTTACACCCATTGATGAAACGTTGATGGATGTCAGAGAGAATAAAAAATAATATTTTTTGAAGTGTGATGGGTAATTTGAAGAGTAAAGAAATAGAAAAATGCAAGATAAATGAAAAAACAATAGTGTGATAAATGATGGGTTTAGGATTGAAAGAATAAAGGGGAAAAGGAGCAAAAGAGACCATTTTTAATGGTGATGTAAAGAGTCGGCAATAAAAAATTATGTGAAACAATTAATTGAATGTATAACTGAAAAAAAAAATTCAAATAGCATTATTTGCTTACCCTAATAAATTTTGCGAAATCAATTTTATCAGAATTTAGAAGTATATATTAACGACATTTTAACAGGTGCAATTAAATAAGCGTTAGAAAATATGGAATAATGAAATGCAAAAGAGCGTATTTTCCTTGTACACACAAACATGTACCATGAATTGTAGATGACTTACACAGAAACCACAACCGACAATAATTAAAAGAATAAAGAAGAAAACTAGCGTTCATAGTGGAATTCCTTTATGTTTTTTCCAGCTAGCAAGCTAGGCTTTAGTTTATTATAGTCCGTATTTGATTATTGATAATGTCTGGCTCAAAAAAGTAGAACGAAACTTTCCAACATCTTTCTTGGTAATTAGGCAACAAGTCACATAGATACATTCATATCAACTACACTGATGGTTAATTAACACTATCATCATTTTTGTATATTTTTTGGCAACCCCATATTGAATAGTATAAATACATTTTACAAAGTAGTTTCTTGGACATTATTTTGACTTGATGACTATATATCTAATTAATTATATACATTAACCAGAAGCAAGGACGCTAATCAAGAGAAGGAAAAAATTATGGTTCCTGCCCCACAGTTTGGAAACACAGAGATGCCACCGGAAGATGGCTTCACTTGGAGGAAATATGGTCAGAAAGAAATACTTGGCTCCAAGTACCCAAGGTATGCTTCATAAATCAATTTAATTAACTCATCACCCTATATAAATATAACATGCACGATCCTTTCAACGTTGTAAACTTATACACTGACTTTTATTTTGAATGGATATATATATACTAACTATTAATTAACTAGTAGTCTATAAACAAAACTACAATTGATATGTGATTGCATATTGATTTTGACAGATATAATAGTCATCCAAAGCATGTTACGCATAAAATTGCTATTTATTTTATGCCACACTATACCCTCATCCTGATATTAATTTCTTGCTCAAATCAGAAAAGTCAGCAGCGAATACATACCCCAGAAATGGCTCCTCTCCACATAATGAACAAGTGGTTGAGGTTGAGGCATTTCTCTGGCATGCCATTTAATTCATGGCATGCTGTGTCCACTTGATTAGCAAATGGGTCGAACATGACAAATATTTCTTTTTTATAATTACAACATTGAAAATGCCTAATTGATTTGTGTCCTAACGAGAAATTATTAAGAATTACAATTCTACCAAGTTATCTTGTTTTTGTTGATTAATTGGAAATGGTTGTTTGTCTGTTGACAGGAGTTACTACAGGTGCACACACCAAAAGTTATATGAATGCCAAGCGAAGAAGCAAGTGCAAAGACTTGATGACAATCCTAACATATTTGAAGTAACATACAGAGGGAAACACACATGCCACATGTCCTCCACAGCACCATCATCATCATCATCACTTCCACTACAACAACTACTTGTGGACATGACACATAACAGTAACACCATTTCCTCTCAGTTGTCTCCTAGGATGAATTACCTCAGCCTCCAAACTGGTGGGGCCGCCGCCACCAGTAGTGGCAGTGGTGGAGCCTCCACTTCAAGATACGGTGGTGATTATCCTGTGGTGGATATGGCTGATGCTATGTTCAACTCTGGTAGCAGCAGCGGCAATAACAGCATGGAATTTCTCTTCTCTCCCGCTGAAGATAAAAAGGATCCAAACTAATTACAAGATCAAGATTGGCTTCGTAGGAGAAAATATATAATTCTATTGAGAATGATATAATTGCTTGATCCAATTATACAATCAATGAATAATGAATTAATTGTATAACTTCATTGAAGACTTTTATACCAGAAGAAGAAGATTTTGATGTCTAACATTTTTCTTTTGTAAAATTAAGGTTGTTTTTTTGAGTTATTATATTTATACACTCAGTTTCTCTTCTGTCATACTTTGTCACATTTTATTTTTCTTTATTTTCAATTACATCATTTGTACTTATATATATATATATATATATATATATATAATACAATA